TTAGGAAGGCGATGGTGTTTAGCAAACTGACATGACTCACAATCTAAAGAGGAAATACTCTGATACTGAGGATATAACTTCTTCAAACTAGACAAGGATGGATGAACCAATCGACAGTGTACATCAAAGGGAGACAACACAGTTGAACAAGAAATGGATTTCGGCACCTGTGATTCAAGAACATAGAGACCCCCAGACTCAGAACCTTTACCAATAATCTGCTTCGTCGTAAGATCCTGAAAAAGACAATAATTGGGAAAAAATGAGACACAACAATTTAGAGTACGAGTAAGTTTACTGACAGATATTAGATTGAAAGAAAAATCAGGCAAATTTAAGACGGAACTAAGGGAAAGAGAAGATGTTGGGTTAACAGTGNAGTGATATTTGAACAGTACAGTGAACAATGAATAGTAATATTTGAACAGTGAACAGTGCAGTGAACAGTGAACAGTACAGTGAACAGTGAACAGTGATCTTGGAAAATGAAAGTTGTCAGGAAAAAAAAATTCTGACAGTACCACTTTGGTCGGAATAGTGAGTAGAAAAATCTGTAAAGAAGCGGCCGGGGCAAAAAATGGCCGGAAATAGTGAAATAGAATCAAAGCAGCGAAAGACTGTTCTGAACAAAAATAATTCGAACGGGAAAAAAAAAATTCCCAACAACAAACTGATGAAAAAACTTCAATGCTCTGATACCATGTTAGAAACCAAAGAAGTTCTATATTTCATATCTAGAAGAGAAGATTACAAGGCCTATTTATAATACTAATTCACCTAATCTATTAGTTGTCATACACCTAATTACACCTACTATACAACTCATATACATGTGCTAGCTATGATGTAGTACATGTGCTACACAACTTGTATTACACCTACTATACAACTCATATACATGTGCTAGCTATGATGTAGTACATGTGTATACATGTGCTAGACAACTTGTATGTCAACAAGGAGTAACACAGGCACTCTGGAAGTAAAATAAGAAAGTGAAATGTCAATATTTCCAGAAGGAATATCAAGGTTATCATAAGAAGATCAAAATTTAAAATTTAAAATATAAAATTTTTAAAAAGAAAGACCAAGCAAACTGTCACATATGTTTGTTTGCCTCCACCAAATAAGTGATCAAAGCTCCCTCCAATGAGTTTAAACTAAAAACTATTGAAGAATGCAGTTCTAATAACTTCTCATGTTTCTTAACAACCTTCTCATGTCCCATTAGTGTTTTTTTAATGTTTTATCATGGATGTTTTTACCCTACACGTAGCCAAACACCACTAAGAAGGATGTAAGAGGCCTTACAAATAACCTTCGCCATTATTCTTCCCGATTATTTCAAAGTGCGATAGGAAGAAAACAATAACCTTTTTTTGTGGATAATGTAGGAAGGAAACAATAACATTTCTAGGAGAAGTTTTCTAAAAATTATTTCTGCTGATTTTTTGTCTGATTATCCATTACATATGAGCAATGTGGAGCTTATCACATCAAAGTGTACTTGAGAATTTCACCAAGTACACATTATTAACCTATGTTGTCTTGCACATGGATTTACCTGAATGAAATTAATGAAAACATTCAAGATGGCGATCGACCTCTCCACCTTGTTGTAGGAAGCGTTCCCAACTGTAACCAAATCTAGTGATTTACCACTAGCCTGCTGATCAACAGTAGTATTATACGTAGCAAAGACAGTGACGATGGAAATATTGCCTCCGGCCTTCAAATTTTTAGAAGATGCTCCAAAATGTGTCTTGTTGAGAGCTTTGTTGCCTATCATTTAGATTAACAAAGCTTATGCATGAATATATACATAAATTAGATGGTAGAAAAACTAGGAAGAAGCTAGATTTTGTGCACATTTATGCACCTAAAATCCAGAGATGCACTTCAAGAAAGCAAATTGAAAAACACTGCAATTTGAGGGAGGCAGTTGTGAGCTAGAAATGATTAAAAAAAAATATGCACGTATAGCAAATTAAACCACTAACTAGAGCTTCTTGCTAATTGTTTATTTTTTAATGAAGGTTGTGTCTGGCTACGTGCACCTCGACTATTCCATCAGGTACCTGCTATCTCCCACTAGCACAAGTACCTACCGAGTAACTCTGCCCACCAAAACTTAGGCAGATAAGTAGAAATCACCTCAGTGTTTTTGCCTCCGATGTGATTTAAACCTGAAACATCATGGTTCTCCTCCCACTTAATTAACCACTAGCCGACACCCTCAAGTACACTTCTCCTAAATTATTTTAGCAACTTAACTAGCTCAACAGGAAACCAGAGGTGCACAAGCACAAAGTTCTACAAAAGTCTAAATATCATAGGAGCACGAGTGGATCTAGCTTATGACCTATGGTTCATGTGAACCCAGTAGTTTTATTATTGTACAATAACTTGAGCCGCTATAGGAACCCATAAACTTCAACTTCAATTATGGATCCGCCTCTCCTAGGAGGAAACTACAAAGATAGTTACTCCCTCTGTTTCAATTTAGATGACATGCTTTCCTTATTAGCTTGTTTAAAACAAAAATGACACATTTTTACAATTGGAAATAATTCAACGTTACACTCTTCATTTAATCCATTTTACCCTTAATGAAAAACTTTTATAATCACACAAATATTATGGTCCCACAAAACTTTTAAACATTAAGCTTTTTAGAGCACAATTTTCAAAAATTCTTTAAACTCCGTGCAATGAGTCAAAGTACCTTGTCTAAATTGAAACGGAGGGAGTAATTCGAATAACAAACATTAAAGCAAAAAAGATGTAAACCTTGGCATTGTAGTCGATCAGGCAACCCTTGGCCAGCAGCAGGTCCTAAGAGCAGATGATCAGATTTCTTGTATTGTTTCCTTTGTGGAACTTCTGCAGCTGAGTGCTGCCGTAGTTCTAAAACTGGAAAGAAAAAAAAGACAATTTTACCATTCATTCTTTTTTTTTTTAAAAGAACTAGATTAAGAATATCGAAAAGGGAATTAACTCTCAGTATTAACCTGAGAGCATGTGAACTAAAACAAAAAACAACGGCAAACATAATAGGAACGGGCGCCACCCACTGCACACTCTCTTTCCTAGCATTTCGCGAGGAGTTCGCCGGAAAACGGATTACGGTGTAATTAGCAACTCGATTTCGCCGGAGCAAGAGAATAGTTATGTCTGATTTGAAATTGGGGAGTAATCAATCGGATGCGGGTTCTCTCCAAATTTGGAATCCGGTAGAACCGATTGAGCTTTGGCTAGATCTTTTAATCTAAATTTTCTTTATTTTTTTTTCTTTCTTATTTTGCCAAAAATATTTCAGTTTGTTTAGTTTATTTAATGTTAATTGTTTCAAGTTATTTAGAACTTGATAATTAAATATAATAGACCCTTGTGGTCCGGCCGTTCCCCGGATCCCGCAGATAGCAGGAGCTTAGTGCACAGGTTATTAAAATAAAAAAATTGTAATTCTCTATAGATGTTCTTACATGACTCTCGAGGATGATAAAAACAAGAGAAATAGTTATCATATATTGTTGGAAAACTAATTCAAAGTTGTAGTAGAAAATCTCAATTGTTTAGTATTTGATATTTGTTAGTTTATTTAATTCATATCCAAATAAGATTTGTAGTCAGAATTATATAGAAATAGGTTTTCTTGTTTCTAGTTGAAATATGTTTCGTACTATTATAAATAAAGGTATTGACAGCTTATTTTATGTGTGAAAGAAAATAAAAATTTATAGAGATCATTCAAAGATTTTTGGTAAAATATTTTTCCTTCATTATATTCTTATAAATTACTCGATACTCTCTTTTTCGTTGTCATGATTACTCTAGTTACAAACATAAAATTTATTCGAATTAATTAGTAGGTTCAGAATAAATATTATATTTGTATGTAATATTTTTTGTATATGTGTTTACCGAAAAAAAGGTACAGTTGAATTTTTATCGTGATTTAACGTAGATTAAATTGATCTGATAAAATAAAGTAATGAAGAGCAAAGCAAGTAAAATAAGAATAATTGAAGAAAAAACAAGCCTGAACTTCAGAGTATTCACACCGGGATCAAAAATAATTGGAAAATCTCTATAACACTTGTATAAAGCTTGAGAGAAAGAATGTTAGTCTTTTGCTATAAGTATTTTTTCATGTCTTATAATAGAATATAATCCTCTATTTATATTAGAGTTATGGGTGTATGATATATCAATTGATTATTAATATTAATGCTACAATAAAAGATAATAAAAAGGCAATAAAAAAATATTAAAGGGCAATAAAATCTAATAAAGCCTAATAAAGGCTAATAAAGATGGGAGGAATCTTGGGTCTTCATAATGTTCAACGGTCATATCTTGAATTAATGCCTCTTATCCAGACACAGATTGGTATCTGATGTCAATATCTTATCTGGCCACAGGTTTGTATCAGTGTGAACATGATTGAATCACTACTTATTGACACGCGTTGCTTTCTAATTCACCTATCTTTTGAGATCGATTTTTATTGTATACAATATGTATGTATATATAATACGAATAAACGAACGTTGAACTCAACGCATTTCATTTGATTTAAATATTCTCGCAAGTAGATGAATGGTTTTTCTTCTAAGCACTTTATAGAGAAATATGAAAAACTTTATAATATGCCATTAGTGTCTAGTTTATAATTGTTTACTGTTTGTTTGTCTGATATTATTATCATGATATAAATTTAAAAAACACTTAAAATTGAACCTTCGACCTTTCATTAGCGAGGATACCACTAAAGTATAGATCTTCATCGATGCCCTCCATCACTATATGACTCAAATAAATACTGTGTAATTAGTTATTTTAAAAAAATTATTAAAATTATATAGTGCACGATAACAATTTCGAACAATTATCACATGGAAATTAAATAAAACATAAATTAATTTTAAATATCATTATAAACTATGATTTCAAAGTTGAAGCTTTCTTGGAGCGCGTTAGAAACATAAAAAAAATATTTGAGGATCAAATAAGGTTTTTATTTCTGTCAATTTAATACATATACTTCCATATATGTTTCATGTTAAACTTTATTGTTCATCCAACCCATTATGTGAATTTGAACTCCTGATAGGTACATCATACATGGTTACAATTGATCTCAAATGTTATTTTGCTTTAAAAATATATCGCATGAAAACATATTCACGTGATATAGTTTATAAAATTGATTTGATGTGAAAAAATAATTAAATGCCGAAATCTTATACGTTAAACTATCCAACTATAGATTATATAAATTTTGGTTGACTACTGATTCTCTTTATCATGTCTTCCACCGACAACACAAAGAAAACGACACCTCATGTCTATTGAATTCGAAAACTAACATCAAAGAGTCCAAATTATCATTTTTCATCTGAATAAGCTCGATTTGTCCAATTTAAATTTGTTCTTACTATACCCCTCTACGTTATTTGTTCCTTATTTACTTTTTCGGTTCCAATTTTACCAAAAGTCTTTCTATTATTTATCGCTTTATTATTACCAAAGTATTATAAACACAAGCGAAATGGTTGTAATAACAAAACAAAAAAAAAAATACAATAGCAGAAGTATTGTGGAAGACAGGTAGAACGCTAGGTAGAGGTGGTTTCGCTCTTGTTTCATTAGCATCATATTACGTCCAATTTTCACGATCAAACACTTGATGGTACGGTACATCATGTTGATTCATATCTTATTTCCATGAAATCTTGCATGTTCAAGTCATTCTCCGATGCTTCAAGGTGAAAGAGAATCATCGACATGTTTCAAGACTCTTAATACAGTATTCCAAGTTTCAGAAGTTAACGTTACTGTATAATCAATGAGTCCGATTTTGAAGTCTTAAATTGGGCTATGAGTCCGAGTCCGGGCAACTCGAAGCAGGGGTCAGACCCGGCTGAAGGACACACACCTCGAGGAAGCAGGTCGAAGGCCTGACACGACCCACATAGAGGACAGTACAATCTCGAAGACATTCAAGAAAGAGCGGGAATTTCTCAAGGATACGTGGGTCAGGGCATAAATTATAGGATAGGATCTGTACAAAATAGTACTAGTTCGTACTAGGTTGTTATACACATGTACCAATAGAATTCTTTACCACAATTAGAAATGTACTATATTGGGGTTTTCTCCTCCTAAATAAGGACCTCAATCATTTGTAAAAGGGACATTATTTACCGCAATAGAATATTCTACTCTGCTTTTCTTGTTTGTCGTGCTCAACAAGTATTCTTTAGCTTTGTTGTTTTTACTTTATTATTCATTGCTCTTATCTGGCCTCGAGGCTCCCAAGAAAGTCGAGCTCGAGGTCCTCATTGTTATAACAACACTGGTTTGGTTCATTAATTCTTCTTACTTAAACTTAATATTACTTGATCATCGATGGAGTCGACCTCCCACATGATCATTCACATGATCATCGATGGAGTTGACCTCCCACAAGGACCTATATTCAAACGTACCAAAGTTTCCATCACAAGGGAAAAACGGACTCGGGATTACATGCCCGAGGACATCCTCACATTCAGCGAGGAAGACATCGAGGCCTTATCTCAGCCTCACAATGATGCACTAGTAATTTCTATCCTTTTAAATAAAGTTCAAGTTAAACGTGTTCTCGTGGATCTAGGTAGTTCGGCAAATATAATCAGGTCACGGGTCGTGGAGCAGCTCGGGTTGCTCGATCACATACCAGCATCTCGAGTCCTGAATGGCTTTAACATGGCAAGTGAAACAACAAAGGGAGAAATCATCCTCCCAGTCAACGTGGCCAGAACCATACAAGACACCAAATTTCATGTCATCGAATGTGACATGAGGTACAATGCTTTGCTTGTAAGGCCATGGATCCATAGCATGAGGGCGGTGCCATCTACCCTTCATCAAATGATGAAGTTCCCAACAAAGGATGGCATTAAAACAATATATGAAGAGCATCATGCAGCTAAGGAGATGTTTGCGGTACATGACTCGACACCGATATCGACATCATCCACATTGGAGAAGTCAAAAGATGAATAGGTCACCAAATAGCAATCACAGCCCATTCCCTCGGTTGAGCCAGAGGGACAGGTGATCGACGAACAGGTGGTCAATGACGAAGAAGAAGGTTTCCTCGCCTCCCGAGCCTTCATTGCCCCCGAGGATTCGGATGCGACAAAGTCCATAATCGAAGAAGTCGAGTAGGCTATATTAATCGAGCAACTTCCGAAATGAAAGTTATACCTGGGGACGGGGTTAACCCCCGAACTCAGGAAAAAATTCATTCAATTTCTTATAAATAACATTGATTGCTTTGCCTGGTCCCACTTAGACATTACAGGGATCCCACCAAAAATAACTACCCATCGACTAAGTGTCAATCCCAGATTTAAGCTGGTGAAGCAAAAAAGGAGACCTCAGTCCGAAGTAAAACATGTATTCATCAAAGAAGAGGTATCAAAACTTCTCAAAATAGGATCCATTAGGGAAGTAAAATATCCCGAATGGCTAGCTAATGTAGTGGTGGTCCCTAAAAAGGGGAATAAACTTAGAATGTCTGTAGACTATAAGGATTTGAACAAAGCATGCTCTAAAGATTCTTTCCCACTGCCTAACATCGATCGATTGATCGATGCTACGGCTGGCCATGAGATCCTTACCTTTCTCGATGCCTACTCTGGGTACAATCAGATTCAAATAGACCTGGAGGACCAGGAAAAGACTTCGTTCGTCACGAAGTATAGTACATATTGCTATAATGTAATGCCCTTCGGGCTAAAGAATACATGAGCCACGTATCAGCGCCTAGTTAATAAAATGTTTGAACATCAAATAGGCAAATCTATGGAAGTTAATATTAATGACATGCTAGTTAAGTCCCTGCGCACAGAGGACCATTTGACTCATTTATATGTGACGTTCGATATCCTAAGAAAGTATAACATGGAGCTCAACCCTGAGAAATGCGCATTCAGAATCAGTTTGGGAAAGTTCTTGGGCTTCATGGTGTCTAACAGGGGGATAGAGATCAACCCCATTAAAAGCAAAGCTATCGAGGAGATCACCGTGGTGAACAATGTGAAAGCCTTACAACGGCTGACTGGGAGGATAGCTGCCTTACGCCGATTTATCTCGAGGTCATCAAATCAGAGCCATCATTTCTTTTCCCTACGCAAGAAGAAGAACAACTTTGTATGTACTCCAGAATGCCAACAAGCCTTGGAAGAATTAAAACGGTATCTCT